AGACGCCGCAGAAGACCCGCAAGGCCTCCTCCACCGCTTGCTGCTTTTCCAACACAGCACCCAGTTCCTCCAGGGCGCCCCTTCTCAGGGCACCCAGCGCCTCCTGCGCAGCACCCACTACCTCCTCCTGTGGGTCCCCCCCCAGGACCTCCTGGAGGGCCACCACCGCTTGGTCCACCTCCGCCACCCTCTTCAGAAACCCACTCCCCGTGAAAACCCAGGCCACCCTGGGCAGCATCCCCTTCTTCTCTTCCCAGGGCCCCCCGATTCAGGGCAAGCAGCTTCTCCTGCAGGTCCGCGGCCTCCTTTTTCCAGGCCCCCATCGTCGCCTCCAAGGGAAGGGGCTCCAGATCGCTGTCCAGGAGGAAAAAGCTCAGGGTCTTGACCAGGCCCGCCACTCTCGTTGGCCACCCTCACGCCTTCTCCTCCGCCGGGAGGCGGCGCAGGTGGTCCTCCAGGGCAGAACCCACCTTTTGGGGCAGGAGGAGGGAAAGAGTGAGGGCCGCCTTCAGGGCACTCATCAGGTCCATCATCCTTAGGGTTGGTGTCCGTTTCCTGGTCTGTGAGGCTCTTTCCAAGGCGGCCACCCTCTCGTGCAAGGGCCACGACTTTTCTTGTAAGGCAGACACCTCCTCCTGCAAGCCTTCCATCTCCTAGTGGGCAACTCCCAGCTGGCCGTGGTCCTCTTCCTCTCCTGCATCCTCTTCCTCCTCTTCTTCTTCTCCTCCTCCATAGTCTTCCTCCTCCCCCTCCCGGTCCCTTCCACCCCTCCCTTCTCCTGATCATCCTCCTCTTCCTCCTTCTTCCCGCCGCCCTTGGCTTCCTCGCTGGCCTCTTCTTGACCGGGCTGCGTTGCCTGGCTCTCGCCTGCTTCCTTGGCGTGGGTCTCCTCGAGAGTCGGGAGTGGCCGCGGCAGCTCCCGATCCCTAGGGCAGGACCCGCGGCTCTTTCCCGACGGGGCTGCGCTCTCCCCGCGCCCGCCCTCCGGATTCCCCCCCCGGGTCGCTCCCTTCCTCCTCCTCCGGCTCTTCAGGGCCTCGATCCTGCCTAGGAGCGCCAGGCCCTGCTCCAAGAAGTCCAGCAGCCTCTCCTGCTTGCGCTCCGGCAGCTACTCCTGGGTCCCAGTCCCATGGCGGGCTGCCTTCTTGCTTTCTCCCTGGCACGAACAGAGGGAAGCGCTCTCAGACGATCAGCGGACACGCATCTGGTCTGGAGCCCAGCCAGCAAGTGGAGATCGCCAGGAGGAGGAGGAAGCAGCAGCAGCAGCAGGCAAGCCCTTCCCTTCCCTCTTCCTGGCTCAGGCGGCACTTCTTCCCGGACGTCTCGACCTAAGCAAAAAAGGACACCGACCTGCAGCCGCCGCCAAATCGGAAATGAAAGCCTCCTCCTTTCCCCCCCATGCCATTCCGAACTCATCCGTTAGGGGGCGCCTTGCTGGCCATGGCTTCGGCCGCCGCTGTTTTCTCTACGAGCGGTGGGTGTCATAAGAGGAACGGCCACGAGGGGCAGCCGAGAGCCGCCGCCTCTTAGGCCTGTTTCCCGCCAGAGACTCAGCCGCAAAAGACGGTCTTTCCAAAGTGCCCCGCGCTCCACCTTTACAGTGGTTCCCCCCCCCACACACACACACCCCTTCTGATCTCTTCCCACTCCCCTGCTCTTTTGCCAAGATCAGCATCTGGACGAGGTCCTCCTGTTGGGCCAAGATTCCCTAAACTGGCCAGAGCAGAAGCAAAAAAAGTCTAGAGCTTCCACCAAGGCTAAGAAGTTTGATCTGGTTGTGCTCTAGTCTTGGCCAGGGGCAAGTTTTGGGTCTATGCCAGTAATATTTTTTACCCCACTTTTCTCCTTGAAAAGGGCCCAAGGCAGCTTACGTCCCTAAAAGGCAATACTGAAAGCTTAAAAACAGTGAGGTATTCCAATGCTAAAAGAGGACCAAACGAATGTCACTTTAAGACACAGTAAACAAAAGAAACATCAAAAACGGTTGTTGTGGGTTTTTCGGGCTCTTTGGCCGTGTTCTGAAGGTTGTTCTTCCTGACGTTTTGCCAGTCTCTCTGTGGCCATGGGCATCTTCTGAGGACAGCACTCTGTGCTCTCAAAAACGCATTCAAAGAAGCAAGGCACAACCATTAATGAACACCACCCAGGGAGCCCATCACTGAGGAAAATGTTGCCTATACCAAGAAAAAAAAACTAGTTGGATCACAGAGCTGAGAAGTTGGTATAAACAGAAACCCTTGACAATTTACAGTTCCTGGTCCCCGTGTCCCACAAAAGAGTGCAGGGGCCTGGCCTCCATGCCATGAATGCTAAAAGAAAAGCCCCCACCCCACCCTTCTATAACCCCCTGGTTTGTTTTCATGGAGCAGAACAGCCCACCCCACTCCCCCAAAAAACTAGGTCCCAAACTGAGGACTTCAAATGGTAAGAAAGGAGATTCTGACTAAACATTAGCAAGAACTTCCTGGTGGTCAAGGCTGCCCCCTCAAGACATTGGGGAACTCTCCTTGGTGGGAGATGTTTAAAAATTGGGGCCCATCTGTGAGGGAGGCCGGAGCAGAGCGGCTTCGGCGTCCGTTCCCCTTGTGGCCTCTGGAAAGATTCAGCTGAATGAGAACTCCAGCACCTCAGGAGCCAGCCCAGAAGGCGTCTGTTTGTTATGATCTATTCAGAACTATGAGTAAATGAAAAAAAAAAGTATTTATTTTTTTCTTTCCAGTGTCTCTGAGCGAGTAATGAAAGAAACATACTCGTTGGTTCCGTTTCCTTTGAGCTCCATTTGTTGCCTTCAGATGCCGTTTCTTGTGCAGTCCTAGTAATCCTCCAGGGAAGAAAGGAGGCCTCTCTTTTGATACCCGTTTATACTCAGGGATAATGGAACGGAAATGTGGCAAGGTCATGCCGTCTTTTGCCTCAAGCACCTCGGATAGGCCTTCTGCCTTAATGTCCTCTTTTGACCATTGATTCTTATGTTTGAATGAACGGCTGGATAACTCCGCGGCTTAGGTAGGGAGTTTGATTCCCCACGGGGCCTCCTTGATAGGAGCTGGACTCGATAAACCATAGAGGCCCTTCCTTGCTTTGCAGTTCTAGATGATGATAACGATGATTAAATGTCTATTGTTTGACTCAGGAGTTGCATTGGTGTTTCAATTTGTGGAGATGCAGTGCAGAACGAACTTCAAATATTTTTTTAAACAAGAATATCCAAAACAATAGAATGTTTTGGATATTCAAACAGATAACCAGACACCTTCTTTTACTGTCTAGTTAGTACTAATCCGATTCCTATTTAACACAGGACATACCAGCAAGCTCTCAAGACTTCAAGCGTCCCTTAAAGGGCAGGTGGTTAAACAAAATGGAGGATTAGTTCGTGTTAAAAATCATGGCGCAGCATGCACCCTTTCTTGCTTTTGGGGACCACCGGAGGATGTCCAGCCTCTGAGCCCAAAGAGACAGGGCAGTAGGAACTTGCATAACTATTAATGCTACACTTTGTTCAGAAAAGAAGGGTTCCCCATGGATTGGGGGGGTACCCGAAATGCAGGCAGAAGCACATGTGCTTCAGGCCCGCTTGGAATGAGCGACTTAACCGTGACTTTCCGGAGGCATAATAACCCTCTGTAAATGGCTTCACACTACAGATTTCCCTCCCAGAGTATACACATTTGCTCTGAAGCATCTACACAACAGGCGCCCTGTGATTCTTTAAACGTCTAACCACAGTCAGTCTCCTGTTTGACCGTTCTGTTTTCTTCTAGGTGAATTCTCTGATGTCTTAGCATGGTATCTTTTCTACTGAAGCTTTTATCGCACCCAGAGCACTGGTATTTCTCCTCGGTGTGGATCTTCTCGTGCCGAAGCATATTCTCCCTCTGATCAAAGCCTTGCCCACACTGGGAACACTTGTAGCGCCGTTCTCCCGTGTGAACAGTTTGGTGCCTATAGAGAGTCTCTATCTGGTTGAATGTCTTTCCACACTCGAGGCATTCAAACAGCCGTTCGTGAGTTTTCTGGTGCCTTTTGAGAGCACTGATCCAGCGGAAGCGTCTCCGGCACTTGGAGCATTCGTACGGTTTTTTCGCGCCATGAACTTTTTGGTGCCTTTTCAACATACTACTCACGGGAAAGCTTTTCCCACACTCTGGGCATCCATAGGGTCTCCTCTCACTATATTGGGTCTGATTTTGTATCAGGGCACTACTGAAGGGAAAGTCTTGCTCTCCTTCGAAGGGCTGAAAAGGTTTCCTCCCCGTGTGGTGAGTTCGCTGGTGTCCGATCAGCTTGTCTTTCCGGCCAAAAGCCTTCTCGCACTCTGTGCATTTATAGGGTTTCTCTCCCGTGTGGATCCTCTGGTGTCTGGTGAGATGAGACTTGTTCTGGAAGATTCTCTCACACACCAGGCATTCGTAAGACGATTCTCCCGTTTGGGTCATCTGGTCCGTCACAAATCCTGGTTTGAGGCAATACGTCCTCCTGGCCTCGGGAGAGAAGAAACTTGGGGTCCTGGGATCCCTTGCACCCCTCATACGCATGGCCTGGATTTCTACCAGCCCAGAAAGTTCTCTGTGCTCGTCCTTCATTCTCCACTGTGAGGAAGGAGCTTCACAGTCTCGCTCGTGAAGCTGAACTGCCACGGCAACGCTGCGTTCGGGCACATCCGCTGATGCAGTCTGTCCGTCTCCTTCTACCCCAAGAAGGATACACTTGGCCAGCTCTGTATTCTCCATTATGTCATCACCTGCAAGACCAAAAGAAAAAGAAAAAAAGAAAAAGAAAGAAAGAAAGAAAGAAAGAAAGAAAGAAAGAAAGAAAGAAAGAAAGAAAGAAAGAAAGAAAGAAAGAAA